GGTCTACTACACGTGTGCGTGCGACATCCGATTGATTCCAATGTTGTGTCAGCGGTACAACTCGGCGCATTCAGGAGGGTCACTGTGTACATGCATGTGCTCCATTGTTCGGTGGCTTTCGTCTTTTAGTGCGCAAACGCTCAAATGACCTGATCGCTAGAAACAAGTTCATTGTTTTCAAAATAACGAAAAGGAAAAAGAAGGGTGGCGGCGTGCGACATCCGATCGATTCCAATGTTGTGTCAGCGAAGTATAACTCGGCGCATTCAGGAGGGTCACTGTGTACATGCATGTGCTCCATTGTCCGGTAAAGAGCCAGATCGGGGTTTCCGTTGTTCGGTGGCTTTCGTCTTTTAGTGCGCAAACGCTCAAATGACCTGATCACCAGAAACAAATTCATTGTTTTCAAAATAGCGGACGGAGGGAAGGGTGGCGGCAATCAAAACGCGCGACCGACAGACAGAGGAGAGCGAGCTAGCCGTTGAGCTGTAAGAGACGCTGAGGAGGTGTTGTCAAACCACCAGTTCCTCCACGTTTTTAGGCCGTTAACGCGGTGACTGAATTGCCAGAATTGGTGCGCTGCGCAGGTCCGTATGCATTTGCCTCAGAGCCTCCCCCCGGAGGGGGCCTAAGACCCCCTGGGGTACTGGTGGTTTAAACTCTGTCTAGGTCAGCTTCGTCTTCTTCTTCCCTTTGAATTCCACAAGCTCGAATTTCGTTTCACAAGCAAATGTCATATTTGTATCATCGCAGAGATGTTTTTTTTTTCGTTTTGTTTTGATTCTTTTTTGAAGTTTTTTTGCGCTTAAAAAGCATGTATTGTTGTGTTTGAGCACGGTGCTTCAAGGAGGTGTTGATGAACTCTGTCTTGGTCAGCTTCTGCTGAAAAATTCAGAAGATAATTGTATTTTTTGAAGTTTTTTTGCGCTTAAGAAGCAAATTGAGCCTCTGCTGAAAAATAGGAGGCCATGAACCGCCGATTTCTTTTATCAACGGTCCATGGCGTCCAAATTTTTCGGAGAGGCTCGGTCTGGTTTTTCAGATGTACTGGTGGTTTAATTCCGCAAGCTCGAATCTCGTTTCATAAGCACATGTCATATTTGTATCACCTCAGAGATGTTTTTTTTTCGTTGTTTTTTTTTGTTTTGTTTTGATTCTTTTGGTGGGTTCTATCTTCCGCTTCAGTTTGCCAAATGCGTGTATTGTTGTGTTTGCGCACGGTGTTTTGTACGACAGCAAGCACAACAGAGGTAAGGATGAAGGAGAGTGTAAGACGGTCGAGGTCCCGGGACGTTCGCCAGCGGATTATGGGTGATCAGACGACCACTTCTCTTGTGCCGGCGGGCAGCAATTTCGTCATTGACTGCGTGTGTATCCCGCTCGACGGAGATGTTTCCAGCAGCCAGCGGCAGAAGGGATGGAGGGAGGGAGGAGGGGGAGGTGTTTGCTGCCACATGTCACGGGCAGGTGTGTAAAGGATGGGAGAACTTCCCAGAGTTTTTGTGTGGCATAACAGCATATGGGTTTAGAGAGAGGTCGTGATTACGACGACAAGTACGATGATGGGCAGCAAGCGAGGCTCTCTGGAGCGCAGACATGTTTTCTATGCGGCGTATGCGCTCTTTTTTTTTTGGGGGGGGGGTTGGTGGTGGGAGCGCAATCCGAAAGTTGCCCTTCTGTCAATCAGGTTAAGCTGTGTGATTTGCAGGATACGCACAGCCGTTGCCCTTTGTTCTGGTCACCCTTTTACCTGGCAGGGTTTCCCGTTTATCTGGAGATCTTTCCCCGCTCGTCCATAGTCACGTTGCTTATGTCGGGTGAGTGTGAGGCGCCCTGCAGCACTCGTTTGTTCAATTATTTCTCCCTCCGATTCATCTTCACTGTAGGGAGGAGGCATTGCTTCTGAATTTGGCATGCAACAATATCATGCTTTCTCGTGCCTTCATCTAGAAAGTGGACTGGCGACAAGGTCACAGAGAGAGAGAGAGAGAGAGAGAGAGAGAGAGAGAGAGAGAGAGAGAGAGAGAGAGAGAGAGA